CGCTTTAAACTAATTTATCATTTTTGAAACCTTTAATCCTTTCCTGACATTGTGTGAAAAGCGCTTGCAGATCGAGTTATTCAAGACGAAGTTGTAGCCGTTTCAATGCGGCTAGGTGTGCCAGACCATAACTACCCTGAGCCTCCTTAATAGAGTTTTAGATTGACTTTTTTTCTCCTCGCATTACGCCAAACGTGACCACGTTTTCATAGTTTTCCTGTATTTTACTTTACCTTTTACAAACTTTCTTACCAAAGACAAATATTCTTTTGTTTTTCTACTACATGGACTTTTTTGCGATTCTTTCTCAGCTATTTGCAACAATTTTTCACTGGTCAACTGACGTTTCACGTTTGCCGTGAACGTAAATCTAAAACTCTCTAATTTGGAAATTTCCACACTTAAGTTCGGGAAAATATTTGCATATCGACACCTTCAGGCCCCGTCCACTATGCCGGATAAATTTGAATCCRCGACTTTATTTATCCGGTTAGGCCTTCCGTCCACATTAGTACGGACGAATCCGAAACAATTCTTCACCGAAAACGGAACTTTTCGAATACGGTCTCCAGAGTGGAACAATTTGAAAACGCCGGCTAGCCGTATTATGTGGACGGAGAACATTTCGTATCAGGAACTTTTCGAATACGATGACGGCATGATTGTCATGGGAACATGGCGGGAAGGCTTAAAAATTCACCGCGAGCTTATGATCAATTTCAGCTTCGATACGCATGCTCAGATGTGTAATGAAGCGTTTTTGCCGCCTCTGATCGGACTAGTGTAGACGCGAAACATTTTATCCGTTTTCGTGGGTGGACGGAAAACGTTTTTTTCGTTTACGGTGTGAAATGTGCGGATTCAAATCTATCGAGCATGGTGTGGACGGTACCTCAATGTCATTGCGTTTATGCAGATATTCTGCCGAACCTGGAATGTCCGAGAGTGTTGTTGTCCACCGATATTGAATTAATTTTTTTTAGTGGGGTGAGCTCTTTAGGCCCCGTCCACACGTATCCGGAAATTTTTGTATCCCCAAATTTTTTTTTTCGGATACGAAACCACACGCAGCGTATTCGAATCGTTTCCACTTTCCACACGTATTCGGAAATTTCTTGATTCGCCCCGATGCACGCTAGTGCCTAGTCCCTTTGATGGATAGTTTTTCTTATTAAGTATGCGCAAAATCGTGTTTACGTTAGAGTATTCGAAAATTTGCGGATACGACCGTCCACACGTATCCGTATTCGGAGAGTGTTTGAAAATTTCCACTCTGGAAACCGTTTTCGAAAATTTCCGAATACGAATAGCAAAATTTCCGGATACGTGTGGACGGGGCCTTATTAGTTAGGTATACCTCACTTTAAGAAACGTTGTCTAAAAAGTTTGGATAGGACGAGCTGAAGAAAAGACTTTGAGCCGTTTTGAAGAAAACGGCGAAAATGTGATTTTTAACGAAACTCTCATATTTGAGGTTTACAACGACAATTAGTAAAAAAAAAATATTCGATGGGTTTTCAAGATTCGATGCTAATTTTTCGTACGGGCTCATGCGCAATACTTGGAAATAGATACAGTTCTTTGACTAAACGTTGTCGTTTGATCGGCTTCATCCCTTCATCAATCTTTTAACTCTCTTGGGAATGTTTGCAATTCATCAATAAGCGCTATCTACCCTTCGTACAACGCGGGGCCCTGAATATTCCGGAGCATTTCAACCTCGTTATGAGTTTCTGAGAGTTTCTGATAATACCTCACTCTACCACATGATATAAGGTACGTCATTGCAGGCTGCCATAGTGACCAGAAGGATCTCAAGAGAAATGTATCGTTATTATTGTTAATATGCAAATATATGCAAAATTGACAACGCTACATTTGATGCAATCAAAAAAACTCCGAGATTTTTCGATATGGTTTACGGAAGTTTTCGTGGAATAGCTTCAAAACTTTTTTGTATTGGAGTGGTGTGGATTCTGTTTCTTTTCATTGTTCATTTGATTCTTGACTTTGAGCAAAGTACAAAATACTTCAAACCTGTAGCGTCCAAATCACAAGGACATCCAATTTTTTCTCTAGATGATCTAGACTTCATTGAAGGTTGGTGCTTCTTTCTTTATAGCTCAAATTTTCAAATGTTAATGTTTTTCGTCCAAAATATTGTTAAAAGTGACACGGATAATTAAGTAACAACGAAGAATTCTAGATTGGATACTATAATACACGCATTTAAAACTTCTAAAAGGTTGAACTAACATGTCTACAACCAACACATATTGTATTGTGTCTCCTTTTTCAAGATATTTTCAATAGTTTTCTATTATTAACTCTAACTATTTATTGATATTAATCAATATTATTTATAAAATATACATTTCAGAGGATGATTTTCGAGAGAAGAGAGAAAAGTGCGACATTCCATTCGATGATTCCTATCCAGACTGCAAAATCCAAGTTGAGGTAAAATTGACATAAATACTAGACCTGTTTCGACTGATAAAGAACATGCGATACTAATACTTACAGGCTAACTAAATAACCAGTGCACTTACTCTTTGCTTCCAGGGCAAATGAACAAACAATACTGATAACTATTGGCTTAAATGAGAAATTAAAGAATGTCCGTACTCTCGATAATCAACGTAATTCATGACTTACCTCTTATCAAYGGGCTGTATTGTTTTCATTTCGCACCACGTGTCATTCCCTTGTAGATGATTCCTGGTCCCTGGGAATAATTAGTATTATATGTATATTATATTTCATGGATTACTTTATTTTTAGTGGAAAGACGTTTTCATAGTCTCTTTTTTGTTTATTAAAGTTTAGTAATTTTCTTTTTCGTTTACTTATTGCTATATTCTCATATYATATAGTATTATATGCATATTATTTTTCATGGAAAAATATTATTTATTTTTGGTGGAAAGACGTTTTCATAGTCTCTTTTAGTTGTGTTTTTTTCTTTCTTTTTTATATATATAGCTATATATATTTTTGTCGATTTTAATATAAACATCACTATCGTACAGGGATACCTCTATTATGCCGACACTCTTTATATATTGCAGTCAGCTGCACGGGTACCAAAATTTTCTTTTCGTAAAAATAATACAGTAAAACGAGCTTTATATGCAATCAACCTATATTTATAACAACCTATATTTTAAAAGAGGATACCAGACAAGGTTCCAAATACGCTTAACAGAGGCACTAAAAAATAAAACATAATGAAAAATAAATAATGAAAATGGGATCCTATGTCTAAGCTTTATCATTCTACTACGCATTTCATGGGTTAAGTAAGATCACTTTTTTATCATAGATGTAGTTTTATTATATAGTTAGGATAGTACGTGCGCGGTGATTGGTCGAAAGCTGTGCTTTATTAGTGAACGGAGCACAGTGCTGACGCCATCCTCGCGCGCAAAGTCGGCTGGTAGATCTTGCGGCCGTCTTTGGGCTTTTTGCGTAAATGAGAATTCAATACCAAAATAAAATTAGTAACTATATAATAAAACTAATAAAACAAATTTTTCCGTTTTCCTTTCAGTAATAAAGCACTTATGAAGCGCCGTAAGCACTCAAAAGCGGCTCGTGCTTACACTTCTTTCATGCTTACGTCACTTCCTGAGTGCTTTATTACTGAACGGAGCACGGAAAAAGCTGTCTTATTATTTGTTAAATATCTATTTTCATAGATTTATGATTGTTAATTGTTTTTTTTGTTTTTTATCCTTCGACAGCGTCTGAAAGAAACCTGGTCTAAAGATACTTGTTTCCAGGATTTTGATGTCGATGGCTCAGACTGTTCTATTCTTATTTATCTAAGCGAGGTTTGGTTCTGCCGATACATTCATCAAGAGTTCCTCACTACTGTTCTAAGCAAATGCTCAAGGGATCCAAAAATAGGATCGTGGGTCGTAAAAAAAATTGCTATATACGCTCGYAATTTAATGCTTTTCTGATTCGCTTTTCTGCAGGTCGAATCATGGTGCCCTCGACTGTTTTGGAGACGTCAMATGAAGAAGAAAGCAAGAAGAAAACAAAAGGTTGCCAAATTCCAGGTTTACTGAAAGCTCTCCCACTTAAAAGTGTCAATGAAAATCTGAAAGGGCATTTTTGAATTACAAATTTCAGTTATCACTTTTTTAAACATTTACTGAAAAAATTCAAATTCTTTTATCCTGAAACAACCTTTTGTTTGATCAAAGTCAACGCACGGCTAGCTCGCGTATCGAACCCTCATGAACAATCTCTGGGCTGATCAAAGTCAGGGCACGGCTAACTCACAGATTTAACCCTGAAAAAACCTCTGGGCTGATCTAAGTCAGGGCACGGCTAACTCACAGATTTAACCCTGAAACAACCTCTGGGCTGATCAAAGTCAGGGCACGACTAACTCACAGATTTAACCCTGAAACAACCTCTGGGCTGATCAAAGTCAGGGCACGGCTAACTCACAGATTTAACCCTCATGAACAACCTCTGGGCTGATCAAAGTCAGGCCAGGGCTAATGTTAAAAAAAGCTTTAAAAATTGCTTCTTTTTTGGTAAAAACCGTTATTTGGAATTCAAGTAATTGCATGTATGGAACAAATAACGTGGGGTTGAAAGGGTGGGAGGATGATTTTAACCAGTGACGAATCAGTTTTCCAATAGCACAAGCACTGATAAACATGCATTTGTATTTGATCGTTTCCCAAGGCCCACTTTACCGATGACATGGACCTTCTCATGACGTTACTAGAAAAACCTGAGTTAAAATCGCTGGCAACTCGAGCCTTTAACATGTGGAGACACTGGAAAAGTGGTTATAGGTTCATGAAGAAAGATGAGGAGGGCAAAGAAAGAAATCTAAAGAAGGTATTTCAGAAATAATTGAGTTCTTAGGCACTCGGATAAGTCGAAATGCTATTTAGATAAAAACAATTAAAATTCTCATGTCAATCAATCCAGCACCAGGTGTGTAGCGAGGTCCACCATTTTCCCGCCAAATCCACAGGAATCCCAAACTTTTAAGGGGCACGTATAGCCTTTGAACATGACGAATCAACTTATCGGGAGAAGATCGTAAGGAATACAACAACAAAAAATACTCGTCATCGCTAGTCACTACAGCAAGTACAGCACTGGCGCAGCTCAACGGGGTCGAACTAAAATCATGCCGTGAATAGGCCTCTGGCAGCCGCTATGCAGTACATATAACTCAGCCAGAGCACAACTCTAATCAGTTGAATTGGTTAGGGTTGATTTTAAGAGGAGGGAGGAATAAACGAAGGACTGGAAAAACCCTGAGAGTCAGAATGAGAACCAACTAACTCAGCTCAGATGGGGCGACTGGGATTTGAACCCCAGACCTCAGAATATCCTCTTTGCTCATCGGTGTCGTAAGAGAAAATCTATGTCTTCCCCAGTACCTGTCTCGAGTCGTAACACAGAAAGTCCGAGTGAACGCTCTTTGCAGGTTTGGGGGACTGCGCACCTCCTGAACCCCGTGCAACCGCCTCTGCAATATAGTTTGCTCTTGAAGCAATGGGCGATGACAACGGACCATGATTAAAACGCCGCATTGATGCTACAGTATGCTTTCATTGTTACTAGATCTTAATCTACATTGGTACTTTGGCCAACTCACCTGTAAATACTTCTACTTCTCAAGATTTATCCGATGACCTGGTACAGTGGAGTGATTTGATAACTTCATTGTTCATTCTTGGACACAAACTGACCATCTCTAACGACAAACAAGACCTCATTAGGTAACGGCTGAATTGCGTTGATATTAGTAACACAAGCATAAACATATTAAGCATAAGTAATGCCTATGCCTCGTGCAAAGGTAAACAGAGGAAGGGGGTGGATCCAGCAGGTATCCTTTCCACCTGACCCTACCCACACCCCACTCCACCCGTGAGAATTTCGCTTACTACCAAAATTTTATAGGTACTAAGCGCCAAACTAAACCCCCGTCATTTCTCTGACCCTACCCACACCCCACTTCCCCCGTGATAATTTCGCTTACTACCAAAATTTTATAGGTACTAAGCGCCAAACTAAACCCCCGTCATTTCTCCGGCAGCTTGTTGACGACACAAGGATTCAAACGCAGGTGTAACAATGAAGAGAATTTGTTTGATTTGGTCTACACTGATCACGTGGGAATGCGCCAACTGATGACGTCACAACCTGAGATTCGTGACAAAGTTTGGAGCAGATACAAGTGAGTTAATTTGACAACCATTGGTTTTTACTAGCGACCTAAATATATGTATAACTATATAAGTATAAGTATAAGTATATGGAATATATCTGCAATAGCTGGCAAATGCTTAACAATAAACAAACTGTCTTTTGCCTCGGAGTTATATGTCCTTGAAGATTTTTCAGGGGCGACGAATCTAAGATTTTTAGTGGGGGGGGGGGGGAGTCAGGGTCATTGTTCATAAAATGTAAAATCATACATGGGTAAGGACTTCTTAGAGGGGATGGGCGTCACAGAACCCTGTGACCCACCCCTGGATTCACCAATGCCTTTCCACAGATTTTGCGCGAGCGTATTACTGTCCTCTAAAGCACGGTAGCCAGCCAATCAGCACGCGCATGCTTGGAACTGAAATGTTTCAAGTATGAATAATGGTGTTGTGGATGCCTTTCAGGTGCAAGTTCCGTGTCTTAGATGCATTTGGCACAGACGCCGAGTTCAACTATGCTAATTACAATGAAAGCTTTTTGCCAGGCGGGAGATCGACACTTGGAAATCTAGAGCTCAGTCTTCGCCAGTTTATGACTAAATTCCGTACGTACACTTAAATGTCATAATATTTTTTATAAATACATACAAATATATCACACATCCTGCACTTATTCACTCCCCCCCCCCCCTCCCCCCCAACACACACACCACAACCACCACCACCACCACCAGGTCTGCCACTCAATAGTTAATATTGTCTGATATATGCTTATTTTTAAAATCTTCTGGGAAAAACTCAAATATCCAGTAAATGAATTTTCAATGAATAGTGAGATTTTCAAATATATAAAAAAATAATAACACTGATTCTTTGGTAATTTTCTTCGATTTGAAAGCGAACTTACGTAGTCCTATAACATTGAAACGACTAGATATACTTACTGTTAAGTCCAACTTCTCTCTAATATTGCTCATAGACATATTTTGTTCAAGGAATTTTGGCTTCAAAATTTCACTAGTAAGTTAGGAAAATCTCAAAAGATTTTCTGGTTATAGCCAACATTCATATGACTAGTCATATAACTGGAAGGTGTTTGAAGAAGAAAACATTGCATGAAAGCACGTTAACGAAATAATTCATTCCTGGTATTCGTTGCCCTCAGCTGTAGGGAACACAACAGAACGCCGCCATATTGAACACTGAATCTGCAATCTGCGAGTCAGCGGTTTTGAATCGTGACGTCATAATATGCTGCGTCGGCGTGTTAGATGGCAGAGTCCTTCCATTCTGGGGAACTGAATAAACGATTGTAATGTTTCCTACTATCCAACATGACTGCCGTCGTCTAAACACGCAAAAAATTACTGATTACGTGTTGATTATAAAACTACTGCCATAATCATCACCTTTTTGAAAGGTGTATGGAACAGTATGGAACTCCTTTTGAATTGTATCAATGGAGTACTAATTAGCTTACGACGAAAAGAATTAAGGATGGCGAGATGTTTGAAAACTTAACACCACACGTACACAAAAAACCTTCTAAAATTTCGCGTGTCCCGAAATACAGTACCTAAATGGTATTACTCTTTACCCTTTTAGCGATGTCGCCAGATAATTCATTCCTGGGGTTTGTAGCTGGAAGCCACATAGAAAAGCGACCGTTTCTAAAGAAAAAGAAGAGAATCGTAATATACGGAGATGAGTCTTCCATATACAAGGTAAAAGTAGCCCACATTGTCTGGTAGTGTGTAGAGAGGTTTTATAGAGCACGTATGACTGTGAAAAGGTTGCGGCACGAACACGGTCGTAACACGGCAATGAATACGCCAGACCAATCACACTGCGTGATAAATTATTCTGAATCCAATCAAATACGCGAAACACGGCAGAAACACGGCGCAGACACGGTCATGTCAAGGTCAAGGCACTGCCCCTAGACCAATCACTTTGCGCGAGAAAAAAATCAGCCAGTCAAAATCCTAGAAAACATCACGGTCACGGCACGGCACGCTTACGGCACTGAGTTTTTCACAGTCATGCGAAAACTCCGGTGGCGTTATTGAAAATCAACAAGACGCCCTATAGGCGTTCACTGGGTTGCCAATATCATGCACAGATGCCTAGTACAGCTGAAAATGTTTGCGCGCAATGTTAGCCAAAAGATAATGGAAGGTTTCACAGAAAAGAATGATTTCGTTTAACTCGTCTTAGATGATCTTCTCCTTTAAGGTGTTTTCTACATTAAAATAAAAATATATATTATTAAATTGTTATTGAATATTATTATTACCAAATATTATATATTAGAATAATTGCAGGTTCTGTCCATTTTTTAGGCTATAAAATAAACAGTTTTGYGTTATGCATGTCACACTATTTGTGAATTTGATCTTGCGCCATGACACAACAAGATCAAATATCCCAATGTTCTCTGGCAGAATCACCAGTTAATTTTCTTGACCATCCTTTGTTATTATGTTATTTACTGGGGTAGCTGTTATTTTCCTTGTCAGAAAAAGCAGAAATTGCGCAATAGTGCACAGAAGTCTTCACGGCACCACTCACTATTCGTTTGCGGGCATATGATATAGAGATCCAAGTGCAGTAAATATTCTTGACAGAAAACGTCGCCAGGAAAGATAGGAAAGCATAGCTCTACTTTTCGCGGATCGATATTGCATACATGACTCTGATAACGTCTGATCGGCTTATAAGCAACCGACTAGCAATCAATTTTTTTTTTCACTGAAAAGATTGCATTAGCTTATTGTTGAATATTTCAATATAATAAAAAAGAAAAATCTTATGTGGATAAGATGGGATTCGAACCCAAAAAAATAAATTCAAAAAAATCGACTCCACTGTGCCATACCCCCGAGACATCCGCAGAGCTGGGGCGTCGTATGGACTTCGGACCTGACGGCGATTAAATCCTTCTGCCCTTGGGTGTACGAATTACGCAAGAAAATGTTCTAGCCGAAGCAT